GATCATCGTGTGTCGTAGTGGGTACGAACGACCCCCACACGGCGCTGAAGGAAACGAAGATCATAGATTGTGTCGACGTAGGTACGAACGAACCCCACGCTTCACGAAAAGTTATTCAAAGCCAACGTGTCCGCCGTGCTAGGACAACGTGCGCGAAGAGCCGAAGCCAACGTGTCCGCCGTGCTAGGACAACGTGCGCGAAGAGCCGAAGCCAACGTGTCCTCCGTGCTAGGACAACGTGCGCAAAGTGCCGAAGCCATCACATCACGAAGCACCGCGTAAAAGTGGCAGATTTAAGGTCCGCCAAAGGTTTTGAGTTTCAACAAACTAAGTTTCAAGGTCCTAAGTTTCATCTCCCGTTGCCTGCACCTAACGGTGACAAACGCAGGCATTACGGGCAAACTGCCTCTTTCGAGGCAAGAAGACTGCCTTTTTCAAGGCACAGGAGCCGATCTTCAAGACTTAGGGTGTTAGGGTGTTAGGGCGATAGGAGGCTCTATGCCTAGAACTAGGAGTCAAGGTATCGGGGAGGACGAGCCAGCCGCCATGGAACATAGGAAGCAACAATTAGGCGCGATACCGCCGCGCGTTTTCGAGGAACCGCCGCAGTCGCCGTCCGAACTCGCCGCGAGCGTTATCCCGAACGATCCCCCGGGGGACGATAGTAGTCTCCAGACTAATCAAGTAGGCAATGTCGAATCTTCTAGGCCCGCACCGCCGTTGAGTAATGTTCACGCCGCCGCGACTTTAGCACGCGTAACGGAATCACGTCCCGCCGCGTGTAGGGTAGGGAGTACTTCCGCTCGTTCGCGTGCCTCAGCGTCTAGCGCGGCCGCGCGCGCTAGAGCCGAGCTAGAAGCGGAGTTAGAAGACATGAATGTTAGGCGTAGACATTTAGACTTGCAGGCCGCGCTCATACAGGAAAGGCTCGCCGCGCAGGCCACACGTGAAGAAGCTGACGCTAGCGAGCGTGAGAGCGTCGTTGAGAATCCGTTTGAGACTACGGTACGGATCAACGAATGGCTAGATAAACGCGATCGAGCTAGGCAGCAAGTAGAACTACCCCCTCCGTTAACCTCACGCGATCCGCGAGGCGAACGAGGGGAGGACGCCCGAGAGGCCCCTCCGCGTGTCTATGCGAACCATAGAACGGAACGAGGGGAGTACAGGCGCGAGCGCCGTTATCATCGCTCGCCGTCGCCGCGAGAGGATAGGCGCGAACACCGCTATCATCGCTCGCCGTCGCCGCGAGAGGACAGGCACGAACGCCGCTATTATCGCTCGCCGTCGCCGCGAAAGGACAGGCGCGAACGCCGCTATTATCGCTCGCCGTCGCCGCGAGATAGATACGAACGCCGTCGTCAGCGCTCTCAGTCGCCGCGTGACCACAGGTATGAGCGGCGCCACTCGCCGATATCGCCGCCGCGAACGAAAGGTAGAGGCGTTGATAGGTTGGTAGACGCGTTAGAGAAAATGGCAATGTTTCGTCCACCGCCGCGACAGGCGCAGGAATTGCCAATTTTCACCGGAGCCTACACGGATTGGCTCCCGTTTAAGCGCGCGATGATAGACTCGACCCGTATGTACAAATTCTCAGACGCGGAGAATTTGGCGCGCTTACGAGTCAGCCTGAAGGGAGAAGCGAAAGAAGCAGTCGCTGCGCTCCTGTACACGGCTTCGAATCCGTCCGTAATTATGGATACGTTAGAACAATGTTTCGGTAAGCCGGAACTTATAGTGGAACGCACCGTTAGCGAACTCAGGCGTTTGCCGCGACCCGACGGAACGGCAACGGGTTTAAACAGCTTCGCCGTTAAGGTGCAGAATGTCGCCTGCGTATTAGGGAACCTAGCCCATTGGCATTTGTATGATTCCACGCTGGTACGCGACTTGGTGGAAAAACTTGATACGTATCGGCAGACCAAGTGGTGCGAGTACGCGGACGAACACCGAATGGAAACCGAACCCGAGATCGTCAAGCTATCACGGTTTCTAATGCGCGAAGGGGACCTGGCGATCCGGTATTTGCACTCGGCCGCAAAAGAAACAGCGCCAGCGAGGCACGACCCTAAGCCCCGCCCACCGCGTACGCGCCGCCCCGAACGTAAGAACGTATACAACGCCACCGCGGAAAACAAGGAGCCAAGTATTCGGAAATCGGTTTGCCTTTGTTGCGGCGGCAATCACTCGGTCCCGCGGTGTTGGAAATTCTCCAGCATGACGGTGGAGGACCGTTGGAAGTGGGCCAAGGAGGCGTACGTGTGCTTCAAGTGCCTAGTGGAGAAACATCGCCGCTTCAACTGTAAGGCGAAGTCGTGCGGAGTCGACAGTTGTGACTCCCCGCACCACGCTTTGTTGCACACGCAGCGTAAACCGGTATCGAAACCCGAGACACCGAAGGTCGAGACGGTTCTCAATACATCGGTGTTAGTCAAAGAGAACAGCGGATCGGTCTTGCTGAAGGTGTGTCCAGTTAGCGTGATAGGGCCTAACGGGCAACGCGCGAATACGTACGCTCTACTTGACGAGGGATCGACCGTCACTTTGATAGATGCGGAAATAGCGGACCGCATAGGGGCCGACGGGCCCACGCGAAAACTTCGTATTCACGGACTAGGGTCTAGTCAGAGCGAACCGACTAGTAAGGCCGTAGAGTTAAGTATATGCGGAAAGTCGGGTGAAAGTCACAAAGTTATTGCGCGAACCGTAAATAACTTGAAATTAGCGAGACAGACTATAGACTCGTCGTGCTTAGAATATGCGCACTTACGAGGTCTCGATAGGTCGGAAGTTTGTTATAATAACATAAAACCAGGCATCTTGGTAGGGGCCGATAACTGGCACTTGATCGTGTCGCGCCAGTTATTGGTAGGAGGGCGCCGCGAACCGGTCGCTTCCCTCACGAGCTTGGGCTGGACGGTACACGGAACGGTACCGAAAGTTATTAACTCGACCGCGAACGAAAACGTCTTTCACGCATATACGTACCGAGCAGACATATCGCGCACTTGTAACGATCTCGACGAACGGCTCGAGGATCGTATGAAACAACACTTCGCTATAGATAGTATAGGGATTTCTAAAATAGCGAAGCCATCGCGCAGCGAAGAAAGAGCGCTCGACATATTCACGCGAACCGCGAAGCGAATAGGCCACCAGTTCGAGGTAGGACTGCCGTGGAAAGACGACGTAGTTGTCATGCCGCCGAGCTACGATATGGCGCTCCGCAGGCTGCGAACGATCGAACGGAAAATGGACGCGTCGCCGGAATTTAAACACAAATGGCCAACGGAACGCGAGGAGTCTGTCGCGACTGAGGACGAGGTAGTCGTGTCGTACGCAAACGAGAAGGGCAGTTTCGATCACTTGCCCGACATAGACCGGTTTTCTAGTTACGAAAGACTCATTAGGACCACGGCACGAGTATTGGCATTCGTAGATATGTGTAGAAGACGCGCGAACCGCGTCGAGTTACGACACGTACAGGAGGCCGAACGTCTGTGGCTATTGAAATCACAGCGCGACGATTTCAACGAGGAAATCGCATGCCTTGCGCGTAAGAAACCGTTGCCGCGCAGCAGCAAGCTGTTTAAGTTAGACCCCGTGATAGGAACGGACGGGATCGTGCGCGTGAACGGTCGTATAAATGCAGCGCAAATCGAACAGTCGGTCAAGTCGCCCGCGGTTTTGGACGGACGGAACGTGTTCACTCGACTCTGTATCGACAACATACATAGGCGTTCCGGACACGGCGGGCGCGAGCGCGTCGCGAACGACGTAAGACAGACGTACTATGTGCTAAGATTACGCTCGACCGTGCGTACGGTGTTACACGGGTGCACCTTCTGTCGTCTCAAAAAAGTTACGCCGTTCGTGCCGGCGTTCGGAGACTTACCCGCTGCGAGACTAGACGCGTATAGCCCACCGTTTAGCAATTGCGGAGTAGACTATTTTGGACCGATGATAGTCACGATAGGTAGGCGCCACGAAAAACGCTGGGGCGCATTATTCACTTGTCTAACTACGCGCGCGGTGCATTTAGAACTCGCCGCGTCATTGACCACGGATTCGGCAATAATGGCCTTGCGCAGAATGGCCGCACGACGCGGCTGGCCGCGAGTTATATACAGCGATAACGGGACAAACTTTAGAGGCGCTGATGCCGAGCTACGAGCAGCTATGAGGGAATGGGAGCCCGAGCTCCGCGAATTTGCATTAACGCAGCGCGTGGACTGGCGATATATCGACCCCGGCGCGCCGAACCAAGGGGGCGCGTGGGAACGATTAGTGCGATCGGTAAAAACTGCGTTATCAGTCACCTTACACGATAGAGCGCCGAAAGAGGAAGTTTTGTTGACCTTGCTCGCGGAAGCAGAATATACTATAAACGCGCGTCCGCTTACTCACGTATCGGTAGATCCGGCCGAGCCCGAAGCGCTCACACCAAACCACTTCTTGCTTGGGCAACCGAACGTACTGCCCATTATCGGAACGTGTGAGACCACTGATAGACGACAATGGCGAGCGGCGCAAGCGTTAGCAGATAGTTTCTGGCGCAGATGGGTTAGGGAGTACCTACCGCAACTCATTCCGCGCGGGTCACCCTCCGATTCAAGCAGGAATCTCACCATCGGAGATTTAGTCCTTATAGTAGACTCTACGCTACCACGGAACGTATGGCCGCGCGGGGAAGTAGTCAAAATCTACCCGGGCCCCGACGGCACAGTTAGGAGCGTAGAAGTTAGGACACGGGGTGGTATTTTTAGGCGTCCGGCGCGTAAGTTGGCCGTCCTCCCCAAGTGATTAGGCTAGGTTTTGTTTGTTTTTTATTTACACGTAGGATAAGTTTTGAGTTGATTGTTTACTGCCTAGATCGTTTGTTTTTCTTTATTTCTATTTTATTCTTTTATTGTTTACCTAGCCTTAGCTCGTAAGACTACGCTGAGGGGAGAATGTTACGGACGGCCGTGCGCGCCTGGCCGGTCAGAGCTGAAGTTCAGACGAGAATGATTAATTCAAGAGCTCTGATTGGCCGAGCGGCGTAGCGACCCATTGATAGGACCGGCACGATGTGGGAGACATCGTGCCGGTATAAATATAAGCTAGTTTTAGTTTGTACGCATTCACTTTTCATCACTCTTCTAAGAAACACTTGTTTTGTAAGTTTACATGAATATATACAGTCCACTTTAAAAATAAGAAGTTTTTATTATCCAAGGAAGATTAAAGCAGAGGATCGAAGAGCGTCGGTCCTGAACAGATATTAAATGGAAATTTGTGTATTTTGTATGATTGAAGATATGAAGTTAACGAAACCATATTACGTTATTATGTACTAAGTTTTAAATAATAGTTTTTTTATAAAGTAGTGTATTTTGGCAAAGTAATCGATAATATTTATTTTTCATTAAATGTTCACACGCATATTACATGAATAAAATAATAATAAATTTAGTAAATTATAACATAGCAATAAGAATATGGATTTAGTACTTTATCATTTACAATAACATGCCTGAATTTCACAATTTTTTCAAGTTACGTAATTTGGTTGTATTATGATACTCAATAGAGATGTGATGTGACTATTTATTTTCGTTAAATGACATCAGCTGATCGAAACTGTTCATGGCGAAATTTCCATAAATAACGTAGTGTGTACTAAAACAACTTTGCTAACTAGTTTCATACCATTAACTGAATCCGACCTTCAAATATGACTACACCTTGCTGTTACACCCAGCCGAGATCCTTCTTTAACAAGAATGGTTAATAATACACAACTCAATTAGGACGTTGCAGTTTTATGGTCTATTTGGTTTCTGTTTACTTAAATAAAAAGACACCGAAGATATTGGATACATCCCTTTTTACGAACCAGATCGATAAATGGATAATTTCAACTTCATTACAAAGATTTACGAAAATATAAAGATAAATTTGGTCGATTTTCAATAGCAAATATAAATTTATCGACGTCGAGATCTATTGTAGAAAACTGAACATGTCCTTAAGCTTAAAAATCTGCGCGGTAGTGCGGAGCGCAGTGTGCCTTACCCTGCGGTTCGCCGCGCCCCTCCGCGCGGGAGCGCGGTAAGCGCGGATATTTAGTCAAGCAATTATCGTAGATGGATCTAAGCAGATATCTAAGATTGACCATAGTTTGCTCCATCATGTAGTGTATGAAAACTCGTCTGTTCCACTAAGCGTTAGTGTTAAAAACCTTGGCCTCTACATTGACTTCACACTAAGTTGGTCCACACAGGTGTCCGAGGTTAGTCGTAGGGTTATTTCTTCTTTATGTTTTCTCAACCGCTCTCGGAATTTTCTTTCTATTAGTACTAAGATCTTACTTGTCATTTCCCTGATATTCCTTGATTATGCTGACGTCTGTTACCCTGATCTCAATGAAAATCTATTATCTTGTATTATATTGGATCGCCTTCTCAATAATGCTATCCGTTTCATCTTTTGCCTACGCAAATTGATCATGTTTCTTTTTCAGGTCACAAATTAAATGGCTCCCTATTCGTCAACGCCGGCAGAAGAGACTACTCTGCACGTTGTACAATATTCTTTTCAATCCTCACTATCTAGAATACTTAAAATGTAAAAATCAATATCTCGGGGACTCTCACAACCTCCCTCTTCGATCCATGAATTCACGCTCACTCACTGTACCTCTCTTTCATTCTGGCTTCATGTCTGACTTCTTCACTCTCCAATCGATACGTATCTGGAATGCTCTCTCAGACTCCATCAGAAGGTCTCCAAGTATATTTGTAAGGAAAAATGAAAACATTTGATGACATCTTTAGAAGTGCTGTGTTTCTTTTTTTTTAGATAAGCTTAACCTAGTGTTGTCCCTTATACATGCCCTTTAAAATAAATTTTTAGTTACCAATTAACAAACAAATATAAATTTTTGCATATTTTATAAAATAAACCTTACATATTCTCTTTCAAAAAGAATGTTCATTAGCATCTTTTAAATTGTTTGTCACAATGATAACCATAATCATATAAACATATGACTATGTTAGGTTGTATGTATGAATGTATTAGGTTTGTTTGTTATATTTTACATATTTTACATATATTATTATATAATTACTACATATGAGTTATTATAAGATATTATAACGTAATATTTTGTTTAGTAATTATTAATATAATTTAAATAATAATATGTAATATATAATTAATTAATATAATAATTCGCCGCGTTTGTGAATTTAGTTTTTCTTAAAGGGTGGCTGGTGGAGAATGCTGTTAGCATTAAGTCTGTAGTATTAATGAAATAAAATATTATTTGGGAGAAACACAAGAGTTTTATTTCTTTAGTATTTTACACGTCTTATACAATATCCCGCCAAATTGCTAAAAGACTGTTTCATTTTGACAGTTAGTGACGTTCTGTGGCACGAAAGCATTGACTTACAATTATATGGACGTCGGGTCCGCGCTAAAAAGTGTCCGCACTTGTAAGGCGCTAAAATCGTATACAGAGCGCGACACTCCGCTTTAGTCTTCATTTGTTCTACGGACAGCGCGATACTGCGATGACATAACAATTTAAATTTCGAATAGGTTGACTTGGGACATTTTTTTCGTGGTTTTTGTATTAGACCCGTCGTCCATTTATTTGTAAGTCAATGCACGAAAGCCATGTCACGTTATTACATATATTACAAAGTCCGCCTTTTGTACCATCATGTCTTGAGGTCAAAAAAGTTTTAATAAATAAATAAATAAAAATAATTCTTCGGAAATTCACTAAGCTATCGGTCGGTCGCCGGTAGTACATAGGGCGCACTATAAGTTTCTGGAACTGGCCACTTACATAAACAATATTTAAAAAGTGATTACACCATTTGAAAATGCAACTCTTTGGCTGTAGAATACAGTTTGTTTCATCTGACTGTCACTTGTTTTTACATTGTGGCGTCATTTAAGAAATTGGATGTCTACATCACCATGCATTTAACTCGTGAAAATTTTCGTAGTATGATTTTCTACGAATTTACGTGTAATTTAATAGTTCAGCGGAGCTTCGCTCGGCTTCAAACTGCTTTTGGCGATAAAGCACTATAAACTAAAGTGAGACTGGGCGGGTCGGGTGACAGTAGAAAATTATAAAATAAATTGTGGTTGTTCATCTAACCGATATCTAGGATTTTATAATACTCTATGTGAGTAACGAATAACACTGAGAAATTATAGTCACGTGTTATATTCATTTTAGTGAATTGAAAACTTTAAAACGCTCCCCTGTAATCTTGGCAATTTCCACATACGATACTTTACGTAGGAGGGGTCGAATTAAGTTTCGACCTATATTTAATATTTAAAGTTGACGAGTGGTAAGTTGTGGTGTGGAAGTACCAAATGCTCGGCTTTGTTTATCAATAGCTGATTTCGTTTTTCTTCATACCAGGGACCGTCCTAAGCGGGAGAAAGAATCGCGAACTCAACATGCACCGACTGGTAATTTTACAATTCAGAACCAAGTTCTCTGATAATAATTCTATTTAAGCTGCTTGTTAATAATGCGAGGGATCTGAGACGTTGAAAAACATATCGATATAGTTCATCGCAGTGTTTCTAACAGTAACAATCAAACTATCGATGCATTAGCAATCGATAGATTAAACAAAATGATAAAATGTTAGAATCCCCACAAAATCCCCAATCAAGTTGAAATTCCCCGCAATTTGGGGAACAACTTGTTGTATATATTGACTACTAAGCAACTCCCGTCCACGCGTATAAACGTTCATTTACTGACAATGCACCTCACCTCGCCCCATACAGTAGCGGCACAGCGCGTCGTGTCCGGGGTAGACTAGATTTATTCCCTGTCCGGCGCCGAGGCAGTGTACACAGTTCGTAGAAACGACACGAATTCTTGCATAGACCCGGCGACTTTTCTTAGCGTGGACACACGCACTAGCAGTGGTAAATTGGAGGATGAATTCAGTTTATTGGATTTTGTCCATTTTCATTGGCAAATTCCATTAATACTAATGAAAATAAAATAACGAAAATATTTGAATATCATGATGATTTTATTACCCTAATAACGATTACCCTATATAGTCCCACAGGTACAGGCTTCCCCTTACTTTAGGGGCCCCAGGCTTTACCTTACTTGGGCTCTAATTCTCACGCGGGCCCAATGTAATTTTTTTATAAATATCAAGTGACAGGACGTACAAATCGACAAACTGACAAATGGTTAAATATCCGTTTTTAATTTATAATATTTTTTTAAAAAGTTATAAATTTCAATATTTTGAAACTGGGTTACGGTTTTTTATGATATCTCAAAAAATTATTTTGTCTCTGCCGCAAAATCGCAAATCGCAAAGATCTGATGCGCACTGCCACTGGGTCTGTCACCCTGAGACATAAGTTGACAAGTCCCATGTGCCTGTAACATCAAAACCGGAACACAGTAATGCTGACATTACTGCTTGGCGGCAGAAATAGAGCTCTACTGCTTCTAAAGATGTAAACAGGTTTCCTCACTATGGTTTTCTTCGCTGAAAAGCTCTGAAAGCACTGGAAAGAAAAATGGTAAATTACACAAAGAATTTCGCACTGATCGACTCATCCGTAGAACAAAGATCTATGTTGCAAGACTACTTGTTTTCAGGACCATAGTACATTTTGTTCGTTCTTCTTCACTGTGGATGTCAGATCGACCGTTGTTCGATTTTATATTTCCGAAATGAAATAAGATATATCAATTCTCTAAACTCCTATACATAGGCCTTATTTGAATAACAAAATGATTCTCGTAACGTATTTATCCTCTTTTCGCTATATAATCACATCGGACTATGTTCTTCGGATGACTCGATATATTTCTAAAAACTCAAAGGCGAAGGCGCGAGTTCGAACCCACGACACTCTGCTTGAGAAGCGGTAGGTTAAGCATTTGGCTACTTGGGCTCCAAGTCTGATAATCTTAAATCTTCTGTTTGTTGATAGAGTGTCAATGGTAGGATTTTATACTTTATTTATTTATTTTTAGGAAGATTTACAGCGATTTTTTAACAACAAATAAATGTTGAGTAACTTAGGGCAGTGAAATGGTGACTCGAATTATCTGTCCG